CTATGAGGACTCGTTTATTTATAATTTTATACAATTAAGTTCGCTCGGTCCCATTTAACCTTTCAATGAAAAAGTAACTATATAATAAATAAGAAACATTCAAATCTCGAAACTGACTGCGAGAATGAAGGTAAGGCTAGGCATGCACAGCACATATGTTTACTTATTTAAATGCCATAAACCAAACTGTGTGATCATGCTGCAACGTAACCAACTTCTTTCTCTTAAAATTTTATTTTTACACAAAATGGCATCCAGAACTCTGGTTAATTTCTGATACCAAATCAAATAAATATTTTTCTGCTATTCTTTCTATTTCCGGTGACTAACTATTTTCATGGTCTTTATGCTGCAACAGATGCAATTTAAACGGAGTCTCGCATCTTCCACCACTCCCAAATTTGCTATCATGGCCGATGCTGCTGCTCATCCTCCTCCAACCAAATCAAGGTACATTCATTTCCATGTCTACCATTTGATTGTTAGATGGAAAGAATAATAACGTTTCTCATAATTTTATTAGTAATGGATTTAAGAAGATGGCGATGAGTGCTTCGTTTGCACCGGTGTGGATGGTGTTCGGAATGGTTGTCGTGGCCACGACGATTGGAATTCACACAGCAAAGCAGCAGTTGTGTCATTCCCCGTCGGTTCAGCTGACTAAGAAGAAGAGAGAGTGCGTGCCCGAGGTGGAAATTCCAGATGTGGTGACGGTTTCCGGTAGCAAATTCATCAATAAATCTTTCTTGAGGAAAGTGGCTCACATTCAGGACGATAAACGAACCCTGAATGACCATGTTCGCCCCGACCCTTTTACTAGGTATATAACTTGATCAGTCATTCTTAACTTAACAACAACAACGACGACAATGATATTTATGTTTTCTTGACAGCTCTCGGGACAATGAAACCTTAAAATCAGTTGGAGTCAGCAAGTGAGCTACACGAATTTTAACACGTTGATGTCATCTGTGAATAATTTTTCAATCTTTTGACTTTTCTTTATTTGGATTTTGTAGTCTAGTTGCTAGTGTGTCTTTCAATTTATTGGAGATTCTCAAGACATCCTTTTTGTATTTATTCCTAGCTAAATAAATAACGATGTTTGCATTTTAAAATATTTGAAATTAAGTTTCATTATTTTTCCATTATTTACGTTCACGATTTTTATATGTATAGCCACTTTCAAAAAGATAATTATGATATATCTTTAATCTTATGTAAATTCAGCTAAATAGATATATATAAAATTAAATAAAAATATATTGTTCTAAATTCATCAATTAATATTTATTTTTGTAAATTCTTTTGAACCTTTTTATATTCTTTTTAGAGTTTGTGTTTAACTAAAATTTTAATAATCATAAAATATCATTTCCAACTAAAATCATAAATTTCTAATCGACAATATAGTAAAAGTAAGGATGGTTGAAAAACTTTTAAATACCAAATTTACCCCTACATATTTAACTATATGCCTACGATACCCTCATAATTGGAACACTAATTTAATTAGTATTTATCATTTGGTTTAGAATTAATATAAAATAAGGAGTGAAATATTTAATTGATATTTATCATTTTGGATTGGAATTAATATAAGGAGTGAAATTAACATTCAATTATATCAAAGAAAAAAAATCAGTGACTTATAATTCAATTGACCATTTTATTTTTACAATTATTATTTTTTACTAACAAATCAATTTTTATTTTTCATCAACAAAACCCTTATTAATCTTTATGATTTATATTATAATTCATGCAATGAGTTTTTATTTTTCATCAACGGGTAAGTTTTAATCTTCATAATTTACATTATAATTCATCCATTAAGTTATTATTTAATTGAGGTTACAAATATGTGAAAGGTTGCATTAATATATTAATGAGGACATTCAATGAATAATAAGTAAATTACACAGGAAATTCAATGACTAACATTCAATTGATTTTTTTTCTTTACAATTTTCATCAACAAAGCCCTTATTACCAATTGAATTAATATTTACTCTTTGATTTAAAATTAATATAAATGGTGAAATATTTAATTGATATTTATCATTTTGGTTGGAATTAATATAAGGAGTGAAACTTACATTCAATTAATAAAAAAAAAAATCAACGAAAATTTAGAGACTTATCGTCCAATTGAGTATTTTGTTCTTACAATTTTTATTTTCAATCAACAAAGCAATTTTTTATTTTTCATTCAACAAAATCCTTATTAATCTTAATGATTTAAATTATAATTCATCCATTGAGTTTTTATTTTTCATTAAAAAAATAATTTTTATTTTTCCTCAACAAAGCCCTTATTAATCTTCATGATTTACATTATAATTCATCCATTAAGTTATAATTTAATTGAGGTTACAAAATTGAAAGATTGCATTAATGTATTAATGGGGTAACAAATGTGCTAAATGTTGCATTATTATATTAATTGGAGCATTCGATTACTAAAAAAAAATATTGTGTACCAAGAAGTATTATTGTAATCATATCCTTACATTTTAGTCTATTCAACATTTTCACATTATATACATAATTCCATAAAAAGTTTATATACATAGTGCGTATATCATTCATTGATACGTAGGACGTGCAACGCACGTGCTTACTACTAGTAATCAATATCCTCTCCAACTTAAACTTAAAAAAAAAAAAAATCAACACATTATTTTAGTTATAATTCTTTCACGATATGAAAAATGGAATCTTATTTTTTTTGCTTTGCTTTAAATATTGGTTTGATAGATGAAAGTATACGAGAAATTCCAAATTAAGTTACAATACATGTACAAATATTCTTATATTACAAAAGGAATCAAATTTAAAATTACCAACCAAAACACAAATAATCAAAATTATTAGCTTATAAGAAAAAATAAATAAATTAATTGATTAACTAATATATGATTTGAGGAAGAATTTGTTTTGTTGAGTGAATAGTGTACTCTTGAGAGAATCTAATAAATTAAAGAAAAGAGATTCACTAATCTTAACGACTAAGTATTAAACCACCGACACAACAATAAAGAAAAAGGAAAAGTATGAACAAAATTAGACATTGGTAGTGATTGAATGAATATAGTGATTTTTAAAAAATTTGAAATTGTATTAGGATGTATTTAGAGAGGGACGAACGTATAAAATTTGTACGAATTCATAATATAATATTTAAATGAATGGATTTAATAAGAACAATATTGAAATTAAAAATAGATGAAAATAGTAATTTTTTAAATTTTTATTATTTTAATAGGAATATCTATAGTGTGGGATGAATATATAAAACTTGTGGATATAAATAGCGGCACCATTTTGCTAATATATATTACTAAGATACAATATAGGTGGCAAACTGGCAATGATTGTATTTATTAAAATTCAAAATAAGATGTCTGATTTGTAACGTGCAATCAAATGTTACAAAGTAGATTTTTCTAAAACCAACTTTTACAAGTGAAAATACCCTAAAATCATATGTTATCCTAAACATTACAAGTCTAGAAAATGAAATCTTCACTGAAAAATCAAATAGTCATATTGTTTGGATTTTGCTCTTGTTTGATTTTGATAATTTGATAACTACTTCTTTTTCGCACTCATTTTCAATCATACATTTTCCAGAAAAATTATTTCCACATTTCTTCGTACTTTTCGTTCTTTTTTACCAAAAATCAATAAATAAATACATATCTATCTCAAAAATTCTTTATGAAACAAAGGTTTAATAACCATCCATACATGCTTATCGGAAAGGGAAATTTACACATATACACAATATAATAGAATAGAAATTTGAAATTTTACACAAAAATAAACTCCAGTATATTTCAGATGCCAATAAAGTGATAGAAACGTTGGAAAACGAAGTCTATTGTTTTTTATTTTATAATTTGCAAGCGTATGAATCGTAATAATTAACAAAGTAAACTTAAGAGTCCAAATTATCGTTTCTATGAGGATTATTATCTAACCATTGGTTCAACTATTCTATTTCAATTTGATTGAAAACAATTAATTTTCATCCTAAATATTATTATTCTATGAGAACAATTAAAAAAATAGTTTTTATTATTTTTTTATTTTTAATGTGATGTTTTAAGTGTTAGAATTCAAGAGTTCACTTTAGCTATTCCTTAGTCGCATTCAATAATATTAATAGTAATTGAATGCGTCCACCTAATCGAAATCTTCTAAATTAATTGATTTACCTTTCTTGAATTCAAATCAATCATACCCAATTAAGTCAATCCACCATATCTTTATGTTAATCCCAAAAAAGCCTTAATAAAAAACATTCAATCACCAAAGAAAGCATGTAATAATCGCGACAATCATAAAAGCATATCTCTACTTCTTTATCCAAATTGCAGATTTTTACTACGTGGTCTAAACATATAACTTGCATCTTGACGTAATTATCACTCACAAATTAATTAGTGGCCAATTAACCCAAAGCATTAAGAATAGAAGTTAAAATAATAATAATAAATAAATTACAGCATCAATTGAAAATTTAAAACTTTTTAATTAATCAAGGTTTAAAACTAGATTACAATCGTTCACACTAAAACACATCATGGACGAAGAACAAAACAAGAAAGAATTAAAATATATCACAGGATATTAAGAAAAACGAAAAGAAAAAGAAAAAAAGATGAAGATGTTGCACTAATATTTCGCCATTTCTTAAAAAACCTTGAGATCATAGTTTCTTGATTTTTCTCTCATTTTGAAGCTCCCTTTTCTTCTAATTGATAAGATTTTTTTAATTTAATGGCTCATTTAACTTATGATATGTGTATAATTAGGCTTGGACAAAAAAAATCGATAAATCGATCACCAATCAAACCGTATCGAGTCGGGTTGGTTCGATACAAGTAATTGGTTTGGTTTGATTTTCTTTTAAACAAGACTATAATTGGTCGGTTCAGTCATGATTTAAAGTTTCAAACCGTTGGTTAACCGAACCAACTCAACACACTTATATGTTTATTTTTTTTAGTTTAAGAAAAATGAAAAAAAACCCCTAATCTCGTAACTATATTTCAATTTCCTCTAGTCTATGATGTTGCCGATAAGAATTAGCATTGGAAATTTCCTTTTACAAGCTCATTATTTTATACTCAGTACTTTTTTCCCTATTCAAGCAGTTAGACTATATAATACATATAAAAACTACAAAACTTTTAAATTTTCTATTGATCTGTCTCTATTTAACCTGATTTTATTTATTAGTCAAAAGTTCTTGTAATATAAAATTATTTGGTTATTTTAGTTCTTATAATATAAGTGGGCCCAAAACTCGGACAATTTTATGTTTTTAAAAAAAAATCAAGTTGGACTAAAAGTCCAAATCGACTAACCGAACTGAACCAAACCAAAACCAATTTGATTTGATTTGGTTTGGTTCGATTTAAGAGATAGAGTGTGTTAGTTTGGATTGAGATTCGTCCAAACCAACTAATTTGATTTTGGTTTAAGGTTGAAGTCGGAACCGATCCAAACCAGATCATGCGTCAGGCCTATGTATAATAGATTCCCAGAAGCCTGGACTTGAATCCCTTTACTAAGACTAGGATTTTTCCATTTGTACTTGTTGATTTACATGTTGGTTGATACGGTTACACTCGACCTCTCACATGGGAGAGGTCGGAGTCTACGCCCAAATGTGTGGGGCCGACCTCCCCATGTGAGAGGGGAGGTGAACCCGTGTCAACCAACATGTAAAACTCCACTTACCCTAGAAAGATCCAAAAGACTATCCTAAAAATACTGTTCATTGTTGAGTACCTCCTTTTCACACTTAAGGGATAGCTACTATATATCATCCAGTTCCATGCTGTTCAATAAATATCTGGGGAATTATCAAAAATGACACTTTTTTGAAAATTGCTATAAAACTTTTGATGTGCACTAAATATTATAAAAAATGTTACTTTTTTGGTGGAAAATGTCCAAATTACCCTTAATCTCCCCTTTTTAGGAGCATTAAATGCTCATTAATGATAGTCTCTAATCCAATCAATTGTAATGATTTCATTATTTAATTTGTATATTATAATGATTTGGTAAATGTATATTATATTGTATAATATGAATTGACTAAAAAAAAAAAGAGAAAAGGCGTAAAAAAAATTTAAAAGAAGCAAAAAAAAAAGATAAAATAAGCAAAATAATCCTAGTTCATATCAAATACACCCCTTCTTGAAAAAATCCTCCATTTTCTTTCATATTCTTTATTCCTTCATCAACAATATATTACTATTCAATTCATCATCCATTTGGAGAGGTTAGTTATTACAAATTATTTATATTTTTATGTAATAACTTATTATTTTTCACATATTAAAAGCAACATGATCATAAAAAATGAAGAAAGCATTTAAAACCACTATTAATGATGATGGTATTGTTTTTCTTTTTCAAATCATTTTAAAGGGAAAATATACCAAAAATATTTAGGCAAATGTCAACTATTTCATATTTAATGAAGCAGACATTTATTTATGGAGATCTGTAGAGCAATGGAATAATTGTTGTAATTGAAAATTGATTATAACCATTAATATTTTGGAGAAAGTAACAAACAAACAGGCCTTAAACTTGTCGACGATCTCGACAGTTTATCTATCGATCTCGACGGTTATACATGTCGATCTCGACATTTATAAACTGTCGAGATCGACAGATAAACTGTCGGGATAGAGTTTTAAACTATCAAAATCGACAGTTGAAAACTGTTGACACCCTGCATTTCACATTCTCCTATTGCATCGGTTTAAATATTCGAAAGTGTCCCTTCGATGCTATTACATATCGACATATTGATTGTTCATAATTCTTATCGTTGTAATCCCTTTATTTTAGGTATGAACACCCATTTGAGATTCATCGTGTCGCATGGGGGAATGTTTATTCACGCGGATGACGAATGGAAGTGGACAGGGGACAAAACCACATCCATTTTAGTGCCGAGAAATATTATCCTAGCCGGACTTCTGTTACGGTTGAATGACAAACTTGGCATTATCGATCTACACACCGAAATGGAATTGAAGTTCAAAGTCCCGAACATGAATATACCGCCAGCTGAAATACGTGAAGATGAAGACCTCATGTGGTACATATCTGTTCATACGGAAACTGCTCTGTGCGTTAATATTGTGGAGACAAATATGCGAACTGTTGACATGGGGAGGGATACGAATTTGCATGACCATTTGTTTGCCGCAACGGATGTTCACTAGAACTTAGAACACAATGATATGAATCATAAGCCTATTTCTCCAGTGAATAATGCAGTCGAAACGGGGAATTTTGATGATGGACGATATGTTGGACGACCCATTCAATGGTACAGATGCTGCTAGTATTGTAGACGTTGACGCCCGAATGTCATCACAACATATTCGTTCGAGTGCAGACCAATGGATTATAGCTGTGGATATATCTGATCTTGTTGAACGGCAAATATTCTTGAGCAAGAAAGAGTTGTACTCGAAAATTCGTGTACTTGCTTTGCAAGACAAGTTTGAATTTTATGTAAGCAGGTCAAGCCGCAAAATGTTAACCGTTGCATGCGTGGATAGTAATTGCAAGTGGATGTTACGTGCTTCGAGTGTGAAACAGACTTCTATATTCATGATCCAAAAATTCAACCATGTGTACACATATTCGGTAGATATCTGTCGTAACGCACATCAATGTGCCACTACTTCTGTAATTGCCGAGCACATTTTGGGAAAATTGGATAATCCATACCGGTTGTACGATCCTACCACTATTGCACGTGATATAGAACGCGAGTTTGGTGTCAAAATAAGTTACCAAAAAGCACATAGGGCGAAAGTTGCCGCTTTACATATGCTACATGGTACACCGGGGGATAGTTTTCAAAAATTACCTTCCTATTGTCACGTTCTAGGAGAGCGTAACCCGAAGACAGTAACCCACATCGAAGTTGATTCCCATAACACGTTTCATTACTTCTTCCTAGCTTTCGGTGCAAGCGTTCATGGCTACATGCGCTACTTGAGACTCGTTATTTGTGTTGACGGTAGTCACTTGAAAGGTCCATACAAAGGTACACTTTTGCTTGCAACCGGCCAAGATGTCAACAAACAGATATATCCATTGGCATGGGGGATCGTTGATGCTGAAACAAATAGATCGTGTATGTGGTTTATGTCCAACTTGAAAGAGCTTATAGGCGACTCTGCTGAATTGGTTTTTGTTTTCGACTGGAAGAATAGCATTTCCAATGCCATTGCTCACCTATTCCTCAGTCCTGTCATGGGTGCTGTATCTGGCATCTAGAAAAGAATTTAGTCTAGCGGTACAACAACGCAAGTGTAATATTTCTATTCAAACGAGCTGCATGAACTTCTCGGGTCGAAGAGTTTGAAAGACTTATGGGACAGATCCGTAGGGTAAGTGCAAGAGCGTACGGGTACTTAGAGTGTACAGGTTTCTCGTTTTGGTCACGAGAACTGTTTGTTGGTCAAAGGTACAACATTTCGACAAATAACAATGCCGAATCTTTGAACTCAATGTTGAGACATGCCCGTTCATTACCGATCACGTGCTTGGTCGAACACATTCGACAAACTATGTAGAAGTGGTTTCACGAACGTCGAACCAGTGCAACCACATGTATTGGCATGCTGTCGTTGAGGATGGAGAACGAGTTACGGACAACGTTTGAAGCAGGTACAAGGCTTCGAGCTCATGGTTTGACAGAACAGTTAACACAGGTTGGAATATCTAATGACACGGACATCGTCGACTTCTCTGATAACAGCTGCACTTGTCGTGAGTTTCAAATTAATCATATGCCATGCGTTCATGCCACTCGAGCTGCGTGCTTGCGAGGTATGTCATTGTACGACTTATTCTCACCGTATTACACATCGGAATACTGGAGAGGTGCCTATAGCGAAGCTATATATTCCGTTATGCGTGAAGTGGACTGGATAGTCCCATACGAAATTACAGGTACTCCTATTAGGCCACCCAATGTACGTCGTCCTCCAGGTAGACCACCCACAAGACGTCAGCGATCCAGATTCGAGTCCACCACACGACTCAAGAAATGCACTCGTTATGGTGGACTAGGTCATAATTGGAGCATATGTTCCAACCCCATTGTACCACGGACCATTTAAATATGCGTTTGTAATAAATAGGCTTTTGTTCGAAAGTGGCTGAAGTTGTATATGAACTGGCACCCCTATGTCGTTTGTAATAAAAGAATGTAAATGTTCTCATTTTGTTATCATTGTCGTTTGTTTGCTGACATTAGTGTTTCATATGATCGCAACTAGTTAGAGGATATTGCAGTTGATATCCCTTCAGAACATCTCGATAGTTAAAGTTTCAGTCCCGACAGATGGTTATAGAGTATATAATATGACTTGTCCGAAATATTTATGCCTGCATGACTACACTGTTACCCATTCAATTCTCTACTTACACAGATATTTTGAATCATAACATTTCTTTTACATTCCATTATCGTTTCTTAACAGCAGACATCGTCTTCTAATTTAGCAACAAACAAAAATGGTATGTTTCAAGGACGATTTAGGGCTGACCTGATTAGTACTTTTTCCATACGGACTTATTAATAAGACACCACGGACATATAGACACCTAACTCCACCTACAAGGAATTTTAAAAATAACTTATTTTTCGATGCTTCCAAGTTCATGTGTTAAGCCCGAACGAAGTAATCCTGACCAACCTACGTTGTCAATATAGTAAACTTGTTCATTCAAGGGTACGTTAATTTTCAGTAAACAAGGGATCCATACAGGGGAACACAAGTTTCATACGTACACAAATGAACCTATACTCTTACATCCTGACAGTTAATCTGTCGTTCCCGGTAGAATACATGTCGTTCCCGACAGATTGTTTCTGTCCTTGTCCATAGTAGGTCCACTACCACAATCTACCAAAAAATGAAGAAAACAGTACGTAGACAATGGAGGTGCTCTTGGTCACCATTGCCGAACTATGTTACCAGATACATCCCTGACAAAATACGAACTATACATTATTTCATACGCACCATATACCCATATTAGCCACTTCATTGATTGTCCATACTCGAACTATCTTGTACCGAGTCATCGGAGCTGATCACAATGATCTCGGGAGATGGAACATGAGCCAACCACGCGTCATCGTCAGACTTAACTTCCACCAGAACCATCAGTGGGACGACCCAATCAAGCACGGTCTTCGGACTCTGGGAAGCTTCACTGGCAACATCGTTGAGGTTCGGAAAAGGAACAACTGATGTGGCTCTCGTACCACGTTCAGAACTCGCTTCGTCATCGTCTGAAGCAATGACGATGGGACATAGTGGGAACGAACCGGGTGTTGGTAGCGGCTCCTCATGCTTGAATGATTCATTGCTCCCTGTCGACGACGCCATTGTTCTGATATGAAAATATTTACTGAACCTATTGAGGAGTAAACATAGAGACTGCAACATGAATTTTCAAGTGTGAATATTTAAGGTGTCAATGATAATGTGGACTTACCATGCTATATATAGTAGATTTTTTGGAGAGATTCATTGAAGCTCATTTAGTGCCCCAACCACCAAGCCCCATACAATTAAAATTTGATAGACAACTATGTGATGGATGATGGTCTAATTATACTTAAATCCCTAGGATATGTCCTTAAATGGTGGTTGGGGTTGGAAGATCAGTACCAATGTAAGTTATGACTATTGAATTATTCTGCCAATGACTAAAAATGAGCTAAGCACGGTTTTCAATTCCATTTTCAGTTTTTGAATGTGGTACTCCTTCCAAAAATTGAGAAAAAACTTTTCAATTTAACACCCATGTGTAAGATATTTTCCATGTTGCTGAATGTATTTGTTATAACATTATGTGAAATACAACTTAAATGAATTGTGCTATGATGTTACTTATTTTTTACTTAGTTCAAAAATGAAAATCATAATGTATTCACGAGATTATGAAATTATTGTCTTTTAGATGACGCATCGAACTACACTGCATACTCTCGAGTTAGTGGAAATTTTGGAATATATAATTTATAGCCACACGCGCATGCATAAAGAGCAACAAATGGCAGCTTTGTACAAGTAATTATGATATAACACATTCAGACATGATGTACAAAAATCGGGGATCATCCATGTGCAGGTGCGTACCGGGTTTATACAACATTCATTGCAACCAACAACAATTACATGGACGATGGCAAGCAAAAGTGTAACTGAATTTGGACCTATTCATACAAAAATCATCGCAACCAATAACATAAAATTTGTTCATACAACGTTCACCCCTTTCAACCACCGTACATGAACTCCAAGTTGCGATGCAGTGACCGTGGATGGGGTTGAGGCATCTTCATGCGCTGTCATCTACACTTCAATAACCAAAAATGATATAATGAGATCAAAGTTATCATGGAAGTTAATTTGGTAAACGCAAATATACAGCATGTTCGACAAGAATAGTCAACTAAACAAATAACGACACGACGATGCTCTTACATACATAAAGAAGTGCCACAATAATATCTTTGCATTGCATGTGATCCAAATATTATGGAGAATGAATCATGATTGACGATGTACGGTATGACAGATATTGAAGTAAACATGAGCAACTCCAACAATAATATCTTTGAATTGCATGTGATCCGAACATTACGGTTGTTTTGGTAAAAAATCAACCCAACCCATTTGTGTGTTTCAACCCAATCCAACCCAACCCAATCAAGCTTCGATCGGGTTGGTCAATTTTGACTTTGCGCAAAAATGAAAAAACCTCATCAAACTAGAAATTACTCCACAAGACTGCAATGCTGAAGTATAATGAAATCCATAATCCAATGCAAAGAGTGGAAGCTAAAATTTAAAATTATAACCTTTGTTACTCAAAATTGGAGTGCTAAAATTGGCAAGCCTCATGAAACATATACATACATTCCCAGTCAATTTATTATCACTTAAATCCAACAATTGCAGCTAATAAATATTACCAGTATAATGAACTCCCACGGCCCACCAAGAAACTGAGATGTGAGGTTGTTCATTTCTCCTAAAAACTCAGGAATTGCACCCAAAAATTGATTATTTCCGAGATCAAGAACACATAATAACCTACATTAACCCACAAAACTAATCTCATTCGGTCATCCAACCCAATTTACAAGCAATCAGCAGCACAATATCCAATCCAGTAAATTTCATATACAAATACAAATACTTAAAAAATTGTCTTCCAAGAATCATACAATTGTCTTCCAAGATACAATTGAAATGGAACTATTCGACATGCTTCTTTAGAATAATAGAAACGTACGACTACACAAAGACGAAATCCACACAAACTTCAAATCATGTAAATGTTTCGCCAACAATACCTTATTTCTTCACTCTCTTTGCCCTCCCCCTGGTGTACGGAGTCTTTGTAGATACAGCAGGACATCGGACGCGTGTCGATCGTCGCCTCTTTCTGGTGGGTGGGTCATTGCATTGCACGGGTATGCTGACCTCCCCCGGCATGTTCGTCGTATCGCCTACAAAACAATTCCACTTTAATTAGCACTTCATCCATTTGCATCACGAATTTGGGTTAGGGTGACATGATGAGTTCTCCACTGCAATGTACTTACCATCCACCTCCGCTACGCCACTAGCAGACGCAATAGGTTTGTCCGAGCGGTTCCCCGAACCACCGAAAGGTACTTTGTCATTGTGACTGTTCTTTTCTGGTTCGAAATCCATGCCGCGTCCTCCTAGTATGAAATTAACATGCGACGAACTATTAGTAACACTGTATACTTCAAACAGTCGAAAATACATACTAGTGCATGAGGTCATACGTAAGTAAATGATCCAAATATTACGCGTTACTCTAAGCAGTGAAATAGAAGTAATCCACCGTAGTGTACGTACCGTCCGCCTCGCTATGCCAGTAGGGGACACAACATCGTCGTCCTCACGTTTCCCCGAACCACCAGAAGCTGCGTCGTCGTCGTCACCGTTCAGTGCTGGTTCGGATTTCATGTTGGCTCCACCTACGCATGAGTACCAACATACCGAATATTAGAAACCGCGTGTCATTCAGGGTTTACAGTATACACACTTCCGAATGAGGTGAGACCTAAGTACAAAATCAAATATTATGCGTTACTTAAGATACGTACCGTTCTACTCTTACATTTCCTTATCCATATCTTCGTCATGATCGACCAGCAACGGGGAGAAGCCTCTTCCATGCACTACAAAACAACATTTGCAAAAACATAAGGGGGT